TCCACAACACCCAGCTATTTTTTGGTTGTAGTTGTCATTGTTGTTTGGCAGGCCCAGGCTGAATTCAAACCCGCCAGTTCCAGTGTATGTGGCTGGCACCCTAGCTGAGCCGGAAAATGTATATTTCTTAAAAAGGGATATTGGCTTTCTTTTGAGACTAATTTCATTATAAAATCAACTTTTCTGATAAAAATTCCAAGAGTAGGCTGGGCAAAGTGGCTCATGCCTATAATCCTAGCACTCTGGGAGGCTGAGGCAAGGTGGATTACTGAACCTCATGAGTTTGAGACCAGCCTGAGCAAAAGTGAGAACCCATTTCTATTAAAAAATAGAAAAACTGAGGCAAGAGGATCACTTGAACCCGAGGTGGAGGTTGCTGTGAGTTATGATGCCACAGCACTCCACCCAAGGTGACAGCTTGAGACTCTGTCTCAAAAAAAAAAAAAATTTCCAAGAGTACAGTCTCATTTATGCAAAGTGAACAAGATCTAGAGATCTGCTGCACGTGCTGTTCCCATAATTAAAAACACGGTATCATACACCTAAAAGCTGCTAAAGGGGTAGATCTCACATTGAGTATTTGTACCACAATATATTTTTAATTATTTATATTTTTAATAAATGTTAATTATAACATCCATAGTTGTTGTTTTTTTTTTTCTGAGACAGAGTCTCAAGCTGTTGCCCTGGGTAGAGTGCCCTGGCATGATAGCTCACAGCAACCTCCAACTCTTGGGCTCAAGAGATCCTCTTGCCTCAGTTTTTCTATTTTTAGTAGAGATGGGGTCTCACTTTTTGCTCAGGCTCTCCACCAGCCTCGACATCCCATAGTGCTATGATTACAGGGACCTGGCCATAACATCCACAGTTAAATGTCTCATTACTTGTTTTCCCCCCAATTTATTAAGAAAAAATTGGCTCGGCGCCTATAGCTCAACTGGCTAAGGCGTCAGCCACGTACACCTAAGGTGGCGGGTTCGAATCCCCAGCCCGGACCCGCCAAACAACAATGACGGCTGCAACCAAAAAAAATAGCCGGGCGTTGTGGCGGGCGCCTGTGGTCCCAGCTACTTGGGAGGCGGAGGCAAGAGACTCACTTGAGCCCAGGAGTTGGAGGTTGCTGTGAGCTGTAATGCCACGGCACTCTACCCAGGGGGACAGCTTGAGGCTCTGTCTCAAAAAAAAAAAAAAAAAAAGAAAAAAGAAAAAATTGACAAGTGTATTTATTTACTTTGAGACAGAGACTCACTCTGTCGCTCTGGATAGAGTATCATGGCATCATAGCTCAACAACTACAACAAAAAAATAGCCTGGCATTTCTGGCAGGCACCTATGGTCCCAGCTACTTGGGAGGCTAAGGCAAGAGAATCGCTTAAGTCCAAGAGTTTGAGATTGCTGTGAGCTGTGACACCATAGCACTCTACCCAGTACAATAGAGATTCTGTCTCAAAAAAAAAAAAAAAAAAGAATATGTGTCAGTCTGAAATAGCTGCATAACTAAATGAAACAATGTTTCTAAGTGACTAACACATGATGTTACAAAATGGGTGCCACATAAAAGATCCATTCAACAAACAAGATAGACTATTTTAAAGAATAAACACAGGCAGTGCCTGTAGCTCAGCGGGTAGGGTGCCCGCCACATACACCCAGGCTGGTAGGTTCGAATCCCAGGCCAGCTAAACAATAATGACAACTACTGCCAGAAAATAGCCGGGCGTTGTGGCAGGCGCCTGTAGTCCCAGCTACTTGGGAGGCTTAAGCAAGAGAATCGCTTATTGAGGTTGCTGTGAACTCCCAATTCACAGCAACCTCAACCTCTTGGGCTTACGCAATTCTCTTGCCTCAGCCTCCCAAGTACCTGGGACAACAGGTACCCTCGACAGTGCCCGGCTATTTTTTGTTGTTGCAATTGTCATTGTTGTTTTAGCAGGCCTGGGCCGGGTTCGCACCCTCTAGCCCTAGTGTATGTGGCCAGAGCCCTACTGAGCTATAGGCACTGAGCCAGCTATCTTCTCTTAGTACAGATTTTTTTTTTTTTTTTTTTTGAGACAGAGTCTCAATATGTTGCCCTTGGTATAGTGTCGTTGCATCACAGCTCAACAGCAACCTGAAACTCTTGGGTTTAAGCGATTCTCTTGCCTCAGCCTCCCAAGTAGCTGGGACTACCCCTGCCTGCCACAACACCTGGCTATTTTTTTTTGTTGTTGCACTTGTCATTGTTGTTTAGCAGGCCTGGGCCAGTTTGGAACCCCGCTGGCCTCAGTGTATGTGGCTGGCACTGTAAGCACTGTGCTACGGGCACTGAGACTAGTACAGATATTTTTAAAATGTGCAAAAATTGTTTTAAAGCAATAACTGAGAAAATGACATGAAAAAATGTGCAAAAATGAAAAACATTGCCACTTTTCTCACTAAATATACGTTTCAGAAAATATGATTATCAGAAAATATTTAATTATTGTTAATGAATTAAATAAATATTTCATTTTTTTAGATTCAACTTCTGAAACAGTAAATATTGAAAGATATAACCTATATATGCAAGAGCTCTTGGGGTCCTCAGTACTTTTTTTTTTTGGATAATCATTCAAACTTTTTAATCTCCCTTTGCACATTATATTAACATTCATATTGCAAGGCATTCCATTCACAAATATTACAGTTTGATAAAAACTTCACACACATACCCCCAAAAGTCTATACCAGATTTAGTCGCTTTACTAAATCATTAAAATAATAAAAGTAATGAAAACATTATTATAATTACTTTAAAGCAATATGGTCTGAGGCACTCTGGGAAAGATGGTCTCTTATAAGTTTAATGTCAGTGGTATCAAATTATATTACAAGAAAGTCATCAGATTTAAGTAATCAAGTATACTCTAATAACAATGACTTTATGATCTGATATGTTTTCATAGGATACACTCCTATTTGGACAACGGTTGAAAGGAACACAGATATTGGGCAGCTGAGGTCATTTCTACATGTAATGAGGCTCCCAGCTACATAAAGATGAGGTGTGTTTCAGCACACCAAGGGACAGCTGCATCCCTGCTGCAAAGTTACAGTACAAAGAAGTTCCTTTCTCATCACTGTCAGGTCTACTACAGGTTAGAATCTGACAGTCCACTTGACATACTGTGCTCACAGCTGGAGACACTGTAGAACTCACTCCCTATCATCCTCCACAGTGCGACCTCACCCTTCTCTGAGTACCTCCAGGGTATGTCCTTGAAATAAAATAGAGAAGGGAAGAGGGGGGTCTTTTCCCCTCCCATTTCCGACCAAGCAGAAATCTGAAATAGCAATGTATTACAAAATTCTTTTGCCCTACAACAGCCAGCTACCACTTGGAGCATAGTTGTGTTTTTTCTTTTTTTTATGCTTTCGCCAAAAACTAGACTTTAAAAAGCCTAATAACCTTTTCCAAAGTGAATTTTATCACATTCATTCACTGACACACACGGACGCACACTGGAGAAAGTCTCATTGAGTGAGTCTTACCTACTCACAATTAACAAGTGTAAATAATCATCACGGGGTATAGGGGAGAAGCCAATTCCCAACCAGGAATTAAATCACTGCAAACTATGGGTCCATGTATGACAGCTCATAACCCTGTCAGAGCAAAACCAAACACAAACCCCAGGTCACATCATGTTTGGTTGATTATGTATATGGAATTTAAAACATATACATATATATTTCCATATAGATAATTTTAAAAATCTGGTGCAACATATATTGCTAAAGTTTCAAGGATTCTCATCTCCAGCATTCACCTGAAAAGCAGCTGGCTCTTGATAGCCAGTTCGTAGGCAGTGATAAAAGCAACTAGAAGCAGGTTTAAGTAAAAGTGCTCAAAGGGCCAATGAGAAAAGAGGTGCACGGAGAGAGATGGGGAGGTGAGGGGGGGCTAGGCATTGAAGAGTTGAGCAATGTTTCCTTTATTCTTCTCAGCTTTTTCAGACCCAAGACAAGTTCTTGAGGACACACATCAAATGCTGTAGTAGTCCTTTCTTATCTATAGTCAAAACAAAACAAGTGATAAAAAAGATTCTCTTCTTTTCTGTACTCTCAATAAAATGCATAGTACAGTAAGAAGATGTCATTGAGATGCGCCATCTTGTGAGAAATTAAAACTGGGACATGAAGTGAGGCCGCGCATTATCAAGTCGCTGGGTTAGGATTTCACAGCCAGTGTCCGTGACCAACAGGGTGTGCTCGAACTGAGCAGACCGCTTTCCATCCCTTGTCACCGCAGTCCAACCATCTGGCCAGGTTTCATCCTGCCATCCACCTTCACAAATCATTGGCTCAATTGTAAACACATGGCCTGACTTCATCACTCCAACTGCTTTATTTTTGGCATAGTGGGGTACATTGGGGGCTGTATGAAAAAGCTTGTGGATTCCATGCCCACAATAACTTCGAACAACTGAAAACCCATTTGCTTGGGCATGCTTCTGAATAATGTTTCCCAATTCTCTGTATCGAACACCAGGTTTGACTGCATCAATGGCTTGCATCAGGCACTCATACGTGGTCTGAACGAGTTTCTGCGCTCCCTCATCCACGTCTCCAACAAAAAATGTCTCATTCAGGTCTCCATGATAACCATTGCGATAGAGAGTGATGTCCACATTAACAATATCACCTTCTTGCAAGGGCCGTCTGTCTGGAATTCCATGGCAGATGACTTCATTTACTGAGGTACAACAAGATTTTGGGAAATTATAATAATTCAGGGGAGAAGGATAGCAATTTCTTGCAATACATGCTAAGTGTACAGCATGATCGATTTCTTCAGTAGTTACACCTGGTTTAATCATCTCAGCAGCAATATCCAAAACTTCTCTAGCGAGCTTACATACAAGTCTCATCCCTTCTATATCTTCAGATGAGAGTAATTTAATTTGCGAAGTACCTTTAAGAGCCTGTTCAGATTCAGACATTCCTAAGGGATGATCAGCATAATCTGGTCTTTGTATATAACTTGGCACTGGCCTTGTTGGCATCAGTGGATAATGTGGTCTGAGTTTACCAGTATACCGATAACCTGCCCATGGGTCAGTGTTAATATCACCTTCCACGGTCCAGGAAGACACTTCTCTCTTTGCCTTTTCATCTTTCGCTTTCTTATGTAGTAACTTGTGAGTAGCCCAACTTCCTTTAAAACATTCCTGCGAGCAGAAGTACGAGCCCTGGATGCCCAGCTTGATGCAGGTGGGACACTGGAGCTTGGCCTCACTGTTGCAGCCGTCTGTTTCGCACACCCGCGTCTCCACAGCCGCCATGCTGCCTGCCTGCTGCGGTCCTCAGTACTTTTGAGGAGTGCAAAGGTTTCTTGAGAATAAAAAGTTTGAGACTAATGGCTGTATACAACATTCTATTCTAACACAATTTAGTTTTCTGTACTCCTACTGATGAGGATTCTGGTTGATGAATGGTTTAACTACTGTAGTGAGACAGGCTACATGTGAAAAAACTGCATAGAGCTAGATTCATATACACACGCATAAATGAGCGTATGTCTAAATAGGGTAATCTGAATAAGTTCAATGAATGGTAGCAAGTCAATTTTTTTCTGTCTCTTTTTAAATTTTATTTATTTTTGTTTCCAGTTAAGTGAGGGTACAAACAAGTAGGTCACAACACTAGAATTTGTTAGGCAGAGTTCCACTTGTAGTTATGTCCCAAACCCAAAAGATGTGCCATACACCCCTACCTCATGCCTGTTAAATGGGAGCACACCAATGCCATCCCAAGTTGATTTTTTTGTATGTATAGTACTATTGTACTATAGTTGTGCAAGGTATTAACATTGGGGGAGGCTGGAGGAAGGGTACACAGTACATCCCTGTGTATTTCTTTGCTAACTCCTATACATCTACAATTACTTCAAAATAAAAAGTTGTTTTAAAAAATCACTGCACCCATGGCAACAGGAAGCCCTACCCAGGCATCAAAAATGGGACAGGACTGATATCTTCACAGTAAAACAAATAGGAGAGTATACATCATTTTTCCATGATTCCTCCCCTATCAGTTTCTTAGGACAGCCATTAACAAGGTACCAAAAACTAGGTGGTTTAAAACGACACAAATATATTCTCTCACAGTTCTGTAGCATTATAATATAAATCACAGACATCGTCAAAGACCTCCAGTCTACAGACTGGATCTGCTCTTAGCCTCCATCATTCCAACCTTCTTCGCTGACTTCCTTCTTTCTTAATCATCTCTACCTCCTCAATATAATCATTTATTATTCTCTTAAACCAGTGGTTCTCAACCTTCCTAATGCCAGGAGCCTTTAATACAATTCCTGTGGGTCATGACCCACAGGTTAAGAATCGCTGTCTTAAACTTTCCTAGTTTCCAACCAACCCCAACTTTTCCCTAAGTATTCTATTAAAACAGTTATTCATATAATCTTGATCTCTAACTAAATCGAAAATGTCTACATCTTAAAAATTTATTCCCCCAATCACCTAGCAAAGCAACTTGTATGACTCTTTAAAAAAATTAAAAGACACTGATTGTGCCCTTTTGTGACGAGAAAGAAGTTTGTAGGTTTGATATAGTGTCATTTGTCTATTTTGCTTTTGTTGCCTGTGCTTTGGTGTCATGCCCAATAAATCATTGCCAAATCCAATGTCATGGAGCTTTTTTTGGCCAGACC